TATATGAATTCACCCTATTGAAACAAGTCCCTCATTAGTTAATCTGTGCAGCTGGTATATTATATATTGATTTTAAAAGAGATATATTTGCTCATTTGAAACAAATCAGAAAACACTATCAATAGTAAACCCACACTATTATGTGTTACAGACTCCAGTATATATTTATGCTTGTTAAGATAAAGATTTTAACCAGCCAATCCAAGCAGACGGATATAATATAAAACCCATAATTTCTATTTCTATCTATTATGATCTATCTATTCCGAGTTTTCCCGACCAGGGTGGAGATGTACGATCACATGACAAGTTTTCTGTGAAATTAATTCCCAAGAATCTAAAACTGTCCATCTCAGCTTCACCGTCTTTGCCTTTTATCGATTGCCTGCTTAGTTTTGTTGATGTTAAGCAGCATCGCACAGAAAGATCACTGATGATGATGATGCTGCTTTCTGCAAACTTCCCAGTGTTCTCTCCATGTCTGGGCATGCAGTCATTGATGTGCAGCGTGAACAGGAGGTAGCTGAGCACCTAAACCACGGGGCTCTGGTGTTGAGTGGGAAAGATGTGATTGCCAACCTAAAGTGTGTGCAGTCTGTTTATAAGGAAGACCAATAACCAATTCCAGGGAGTAGCACTCAAGCTCAGAATGCTAATCAGTGTGGCAGCATTGAATATAGAGCCGAGAGCAATAGCTTTCTAATGTAGGTGTTGTTATTTTCAAGGTGTACGAGGACAGCTCAGCTCAGCAGATGCAGAGGCTGCCTGGGGATGGTCACCAACAGGCATCTTTGTTATCTTAATAGAGACTGGTGCTGGCTGCTTTCTTTTAATTTTCATTCTTAACATTAAGCTGAGTAAAACATTTGCTGCCAGTAGCATCTCATTAATCACAGCAAGTGCTATCAATCTTTTCATTTAACTCGCAGCACAAATATGAGCAAGCAAACATTTTTGGTTTACGATAAACATTTGCTTAGCACAACATCATCAGGCAGGGCCATAATAACTTCTTTTCAAAGGCTCCGTGTTGACTGGAGTCATTTAAAGTTGTTTCAAAAGCTTTTTTTCTGACTCACCCAGAACAGCTGCTCCTTTCAACAGTGCGAGTCAGCACGGCGCTACTTTTAACTGATCATAAATGAGCCATTCTGTTTTTGTTTTTGTTTTTCATCTCGTCAGAAATCTGTTTGAAGGAGTTTCTATTGTCCTGGTTTGTTCATGTGCTTTGATATAAAGATAAAATGCAACACCTGTGACGTGTACAAACTTTTCTCACTTTTAGTTTCCAAGCTAACGCTCTCATAATGAGAATAATTATTATTATTCTAATAAAAATGTACCTTTCAAAACAAATATCAGTTGGAAAATTGCAGTTTAAATTCCATTTTGTTGCATCATGCCAGTTTTATCACCCACAGCTGGGACTGTGGAGCAGGTTTGCCTTTTACTATAAGAGGTGATACACTTTAACATACCAGGCAATTTAATGTCCACAAGAATTTGCCTTTATCACAAGAAATATTTCAGAGTGTTCCAGAAGTACTCCCAAGTGCTTTTGATAACTGCTCTTTTGTTCATCCTGGTCTGCCTTCTCTCTCATCCCTTTCTTGCATTTGTGACCTGAAGATAGTGCAGAGTCGTCTGTTTCTGTGTTCAAATGATTAAGCTTTCAGTTTACCATTAATTCTCCTCAAATTCTGTTAGATTTTTCCATTAGGAGTAATCTCAGCGTAATATAAAGCAGACTCTAATACTGCACAATAGTCACTCTGAGTAAAAATGCTGAAGAACTGACACTACAAATGAAATTCTTGATGTGGTGAATATAAAGCCTTTATCATTATGGCTCACTTCACAGCGCAGCACAAATCTATAGGCATGTCTTAAAACATAACAGCCTGGATTATGTGCAGTTTCATGCCTGTAAATTCAGACAACATTCAGTCATCGTTTTTGACTGTACAAATTTCAGTACTTCAACATTTGTGAACAGAGTGTTTCCTTTAACCTGCACATTTTGCAAAATTTCTTGGATTCATTTCTGTCGTTATGTGATTTTTGTCAAAATTGGGTACATCCTGTTTGGTGTTCATTTGCTATGTGCAGCTTGGAATATTGTAATGCCTTATTATTTGGTTGTTCGAAAATGCTCCTTAAAACTGCTTAATTGGATCCAAAATGCCACAGCGAGAGTACTGACAGGTGCTAGAAAGAGCACTTGTGCATCTCTGAAACTCACCACTCAGGTGTACCTAACATGAGGGCTGTAATATGTAGCTCATTTCCTTTCTGTAAAATGCAGAATTGAATTGAAATCACTTACAAGTCCCAAATTGTGTATCTTACTGAGTATCTCAGCGTCCAAATAAAACACTTCTGTGTCAGACTGCAGGCTTACTTGTGTTTCAAAACGTTTCTAAAAGGAGAATGTGAGGCAGAACATTCAGGCCCTTCTTCCCAGTTTAAGTTCAGGAGACAGGCAGCCTCTTACTTTTTAAGATTAGCCTTAAAACCTTCCTTTTTGATAAGGTTTATAGTTGGGGCTGGGTCAGGTGACCCTGAACCATCCCTTAGGTGTGGGGATTTTCCGTGATGCACTGAACATTTCTCCGTCACATAGCTGTTTTCACTCTGTGCATGCTGTGCTTTTGTTTGCCATTACTGCATGTCACTAACTTTTGTCTGTTCCTGCTTTGTCTTGATTGTTTATATGTCTTCTCTTCCTTCCTGTTCAAAGGGAATTTCCATTTCCACAGTAACAAAGTGCTTGGCTCTCTCTAATATTGTAGGATCTTTAACTTGCAACATAAAGTACCCTAAAATGACTTGTGTTTGTCTGTACTTTTTATGCTACCTGTGCTATAGAACCAAACTATCGGATATTCTGACTATAGATATTAAATAACTATAATATTTAAAATTATATGTTACAAATTTTTGCCTGTGAGACATGATGCAGTTACTTTGGTCCCCAACTAAGTGCACTTTAACCAGGCATGACGATGTCTTGGAGCAGGGGTGTAAACCGACTTATTTCACCAAAAGAGTAAATACAGAATGATGTTCAAAGCAAGTATTGGCTGCCTTAAAATTGAAAAACACTCTAAAAGTAATAGAAAGTAAAGAATAGCTGTGGGCTGTCAGCATGATCCTAATTTCATCAGCTTATCTTTTACTTTTCCATGTATATTAGCATCTGGGATAGTAATTTGCATTTCAACATTGCAGATGTTGTTTTATAGGGCAGGGGAAGGTAGAAAAAAAGTGAGTCTATTTGTCAGTATGCTGTGAGGTGAGAATAGTGGGAAGAATCGTCTTGCCTCTTGCCGAGGGCCCTACATCTCTCAAGTTGGGTCATTATCGAGCTGATATTGTGTTTGTCTAAACTTGGCATAATAAAACCCCTCAGCTTTTCTTACCTTTGCTTTCAAAATGAGAGAACTTTTATTGTCACCAAAGGGACAATAGAGGTGCTTTTGACAAACCACAAAAAAACAGCAGCCATCAGGTAAAGCCGTAGTACAAAAGAACATATTATAAAAGAAAAATGAAGCTGTAGAAGCTGTTACCTAACAAATCATTAAAGGGGATTGACTTATACAAAGACAAACAACAGATACAGAACATGTGTTGGGCAAAAATATACTCATGTTACAGTGACAAAGTAATTTCAAATGAGCTAGAACAAGCGCATCTATGCTATCTCAGTCTCTTATTGAGGTTGTGATGAATGATAACTTGAGCAGTCAGATTTCTGTTCCGAGTACTTGTTTCTACTGATTATGGCTGAACAGAAATCTTTGAACTGTCAGAGCAAGAGCAGGTTGTGCTTTTTTCTATCCAATTTTCTCAAAATAATTGAAGGGAAAAATCACAAAACACCCCTCTGTTCCATGCTACACACTTACATCTACTTGAAAACTTACAATATTTAAAGCAGGATTTCCTGTTGGACTGTTTCCTTAGACTGGATTCATTTTAGCTACTTAAAATTGCACTTTTTGTCTGGTGCCATATATTTTTAAAAAATCTTTTTTGTTCTGCTGCCATGCCTACCCGAAGCAACAACTAAAAAGTCCACAGGGATCAAAAAACAAAAAAATCAAGTTCCAGAAAAATCAGGCCATTACATCATTTATTGATTAAGTGCTAAAAATACATTGAAAGAGGAACAAAGTGATTATAGATCTTGTTTTTCAGAGGGCACAGCTCTTTTATATCAGAAATACTCCTACTGGGGTCTCAACACGAATGAAAGGGCTGAACAAAAACACTTGAGGTGAGGGTTGGTTGGAGGACTATGCTATCTGTGTGACTCAAAGTGTGATTATGCATTAGTTAATAATGAAAATGGCACTTGCATGAAGTGCAGACCTTTTGTGGCTTTGATTGAGGCCAAAAGGGAACCAAGAATGGTCATCTCTCAAACCCATGCAATGTCTTCAGTATAAAAGCTGACATTCAAGAAGAATATTTAACACATAAACCGCTAAGTTGCTCTTAATTTACTAATTATATCTCAGATTATTAGGTTTTTAGCAATTTGGCACAGGCTAGCAGAAGACCAAATTTTATCAGCAGTTATGTTAGTGATACTCTAGCCCCCATGTTGCCCAGTCCACTAAAATAAATATGTATGTATGTTATCTATCCAGTAGATGGCACAATCTAACTTTAAAGCACAAAATGTCTCCAGTCTCTTTACTTTGTGTGGCTGTGTGTCTCAGTGCAGACCAGGATAAGCAGCTGTAATATAAAGGCAATATGACTACTCAAAGGGAATCAATGAATAAATTAACCAAAGCTTTGATGAATATATCAGTTAAGCCTCACACTGACTACCTGTATGAATGAACTGGGCAGAAAAGAGTCAAACTGAACGCCTCCCTCCATCTCTCTCTTACACACAAACGCCTTCTTGTGTAACTCTATCCTCCTCTCTCCCTGCCCCCTTCCCTCCCTCTCTTCACATCTCTCCCTCTCCCGTTTTTTTTTCCAATTCTTTACAGCCCACCAGAGGCTGTGAATGGTAGACAACTCATCGTATTTCGTTCCACTGGCGAGTATCACACCAGTCAGAGTGTGGGGAGGCTGAGCAGAGCGCACAGCTACAGTCAGCGATCCTCAGATGTCATGTAAAGTAACTGGCAGAACAGTGGAAATTTTTATCTGAGAGGATGATGACTGTGCTTTAAAAGCACTGAAATACGCACGATTCTTTTTTTTATTCATAGGATTTCATGTGCGCGCTAAAGTGGCCATGGCGCATTTTACGCACTACAGGTAACCAGTGTTTTGGAGGCTAAAACAACCAAAAGCATGGATTAAACTGCAAGTATTTTTCCCCACTTTCTTCAGCAGAGCTGAAATGGCGGCACTTCGTAGAAAATTTGGCGAAGACTATCAGGTGGTTAACACAAATCGGGCTTCATCTTTTTCTGCTCCGGTCAAGAAAAAACGCCAGCGTTTCGTGGAGAAGAACGGTCGCTGCAACGTGCAGCACGGAAACCTCGGTGGAGAGACCAGCAGATACCTCTCTGACCTGTTCACCACTTTGGTAGACTTAAAGTGGCGATGGAACCTACTGATCTTCATCCTAACTTACACCATCGCATGGCTGGTCATGGCATCGATGTGGTGGGTCATTGCGTACATCAGAGGAGATCTAAATCATGGCCACGACTCATCGTACACCCCCTGTGTGGCCAATGTTTACAACTTCCCCTCAGCTTTTCTGTTCTTCATCGAGACTGAGGCCACAATTGGTTACGGCTACCGGTACATTACGGAGAAGTGTCCGGAGGGCATAATCCTTTTCTTGTTCCAATCGCTGCTGGGCTCCATAGTGGACGCTTTTCTCATCGGTTGTATGTTCATAAAAATGTCCCAACCCAAGAAACGCGCAGAAACGCTCATGTTCAGTCAGGACGCGGTGATTTCTCTGCGAGACGGCAAACTGTGCCTCATGTTCCGTGTGGGCAACCTACGGAACAGCCACATGGTGTCCGCACAGATCAGGTGCAAGCTTATAAAGGTAAGCTTAATATCGACACACTCGGCTAATAACATTAAAATAAATTTAAAAAGAAGCTAAATCTGCAAGAGTAAGAGCAGTTCGTTTTAAACCACATCTCCTTTTATCAGTAAAGCAAATCATGACTTTGAAATAGATGCAATGTAGTTAACTTACACTAACTTATTAGACTCCCTGCTGATACACTGGAGCTTCAGCAGCACTGCCTTATCTCATCAGCGTGGAGCACTTTCTTTGAAGGCTGGCATCCCGTGTTTTGTTTTTGTTTTTTTTACTTCCCTTAAGCTTCCACGGTCATTTATTTTAAGCATGACTGCACACTTGAATGACAGCTTGCATCGCTGAATCTCTAACCTAAGCCCACGAGGCCAAAGACAAGCTGCAAATTGCTCAAGTATATGTCAAGTATATATGGTGAAGCTGAGCAGCAGCCAGATGGGTGCCTCACAAACCGCTGAAATAAGAGAGAAAAGACTGTGTTGTCTTTGTGGGGAGGGCCGCAGTGTGCATGGTCCCTACTGTGCCCAGCATCAGCTCCGCTTCAACTGGTGACACATGGGCAGATAGAAGTGTATCAGTAAGCAGATGTGACAGACAGATGCCCCTCCCCCTTGTGTTTGATAGAAAGTTAGGCTCAGTGAATCAGTAAGGAGCTGAGATTGACACACCACAGCAGATCACTGGACTCAGTAAAACAATGCTCTGGAGAGAGAGTGTTAAGACATAAAAAGTATTTAAGGTGATGCATTTTTTTTAAAATTTCCTTTCTGAAATTTAAAAATAGTTAGAAAGAACAGCAGTGTTTGAATTTAGCTGCAAAAAAAGAAGAAGAAGCCTATGCATTGTTGAAGTGGGTTTGTGCCATTATGGCTTCAACTTAGCAGATTTTGGGAGAATACAGCTAATAAACCTCAAACTCTAAAAACAGGCAGCAGTGCAGAAAATTGCCACAAACAGCACCGAGGTTGACAGGCCCCCCTGTGTTAATTATCGTAATAGAGCTCCATTCAGCCACATCCATGTTCAATGTGCAAAATGGGCCATAAAGAAGACAAACAGCATTAGAGAGGTGCTTGGAGCTTGTTTATATGTGTGTTCTCCTCCGCACAGCTACATCAAGCACAGCATTGGTCAGCTTAATGATGCATGCAGGCAAAGAGGGAGGCAGGGAGGACTGTGCTATTCCACAGTTACAAGCATGGAGAAAGTGAACAACCCCATAGGCAGAAAGTAAAATTGCACATGTTTGCGATGATTTCACTCGCCTCCCTTGTAAGACTGAACCATAGGCTTCTCTCCACCTGCGTAATACACCAGTGGTAGTGTGAACTGCAGTACATCAGTACACTGGAGCTCAGTGTTAAATTAAGCAAGTTGAAACTGAAGGCAGTTTTTTTAATAACATGGGTATCCAAAACTTAACAAACAGGAGTGTTAATGCGATTTGAACAGACATGAAATCACTAAAAATAATGGAAACTCCTTTTTTAATTTTATTTTTTTTATATGGAGCTGAGGTAAAACCCATTTGCTTCCTTTCCAGACTGCCAGAAATACAATCAGTATATATTCCAAGACCTATGCCAACCCCACATCCGCTTTACACTCCCCCTCTCTGTGAAATACAATAAACACAGCATCCACTGTGTGCTTCTTAGATTTTTTTTTTTTTTATCATTTTTTGCTCAAGGGCTTTCTGGTCTAACCTTATTCTTTCGCTTCAAAGACTCTCTTACCAAGACAGAATATTTGTAGCAGCCCTGCCAGAGTACACACACACAAAGAAAAAAAATAACAGTCTGGTGAGTCATTGCACAGACCACAAGCCTTGTTTAGGATTTACATACGTGTAAATATTTATCATCAAATACGATGCTGAATTAAACTACTGCCATAGTTGTATTGTTTTAAGTTGGATGCCTTTTAGTGCAGTCCCTGTATAGAAATGTTGGTGGTGCTGTTGAACTACAGCCTTTTTTTAAAGTCTTGCCTCATCATAAGATACCCAAAGACATTAGTGGCAGTGGAAGCATTTAACTTGTTTAAAAAGAGTTTAAAAGAGAGGCAGAGTTTAAGAAACTAGAGTGGAATACGCGAACAGCCCTCAAACTTCAGAAATCAAAACAAATTTTTTTACACTGCATCAAAATTCAACTTTAACTGTAAATCTCTATCATTTGAACTGCAAGCGGAAACATAGTTGTATCAGTGGGGTTCAAATACTTAAAACTATTGCAGATTTATCTGGAAAAGCTTTGGACATCCTGCAATATGATGTTCGTTACTCGTTAATCTTTCTAACTGAGGCGTTTCCTCTTGCTTCTCATAAACTGTAACTTGCAAACTTATAAAGCATTCAACGCCTCATTTCCATGCACAGATGTAATTGAGCGGGTATTTTCTCCCGCTGCCACCAGTGTGGTTAAAGTAGTTCATTTCCTTACTAAATCTTTTCATTGCGCAGTATTTCTTACCGAACTCATTAAAACAAAAAAAGAAGTGGGACACCACAGATGACAACGATCAGCTTTCCCTCCTCTCTGCATGCAGCACTTTAGCCGAATTGAATTTGAAAACACCTGCGTAGCTCCGTTTCCTGTGGGAATCAAAACAAGCATCAAACGAGATTTGCACAAAGCTGAACCAACTCCTTCATCCAGCGCTGCGAGGCATTTTTTTTTAATGTCTTTAAACAGTGGTGGGTTGTACCAGCACATTTCTCAAGGTTTCTATTATATTAAATAGCATCTTCTCGTGTTTGTAGTGTTTGGAGAACAATTAAATAAGAGAATTTAGGTAAATCCACAGACTCAGTCTTCACTTTACTCTTAAATCGTTCCACATTGAAAGCGCTTTTGTCAGCTCATTAAAATGAGAAAATAGAAGAATATGAGAAAAGTCAGCATCAATAGCATTTTTTATTTACTTCATCATTTAAATTTAGAACCATGCAACTGTAGGTCTGACTGTCAAAAGAACCATACATTTTAATAAAGATTTCTTTTACTCTAGTGTTCTTATGTAATGCTTTTAATCACTTACCATAAATATTACACAGACAGTTGGTGGAACTGATTTATTAGCCCAAAAATGAAAAAAAATATTAAGGTTACAACTGGGATTAATATGAAATAATAAAGAGAATATATTTAAAATTCAAATTAGTTATTTGTCGCCATTATTTATGCTACCAGTGAAGTCTGACAGAGATAAACATAATATAAATGCAGTGCAGGTAACACATTCAAATATCGTGTGCTGTGGCCGCTGCGCTGATAGTAGCATCTGTGCACCGCAACATTATTTGTGCAAACTCTAAACGAACAAAAGCCGCCATTGTACTTTAAAATCAGAGTGACGGACAGACCAGCTGTGTCCCTGTCACTAGACAAAACTGTAAAAAAAATAAAATAAAAAATGGACGTCCCTTGAGATGAAGGCTCAGACAAAAAGACAGTTCCTTTTTTTCCCGCCTTGTGTTTTCACGAGAGGAAATAAGATGCAAGAGAGTGACGCAATTGACTGAAACGCGGATACAATCAAGGGAATTGGGCTGTACCCCTCATGCATATGTAAAAAGAAAGGTAGAGTAGCCTGTTGTCAGACTCCCCAGTTGTCAAAGAACAAACGTAAAGTAATAAGCAACCTTATTTCTGCTTTATTTGTTCGTCCTTTTGTACTCTGCCAACTAAAACACACTAAATACCACACAGAAAAATCACATATCAGTCTGTCTCACCTCCTACTGGAATTCATGGACACACTGAGCCTTCATTTGAAAAGCGCCTTGGGCCATCAGCTCACACCTACATGCAAAATCTTTGGTTTTCCCTCTCATTTTGGTCGTGCCCAAGAAGCCAAAGAGAAGTTTGTGGCTCGTATTAGCTGAGGGGAACACTGCTCGCTGCTTTCTTAAGCCAAGAAGAAATCTGCACCACACTGAGGGACAATCTAGCATAATCTTTGTTAGATAAAGTCAAAAATCAACATTTAATGTGTTTGTGATGTTCAGACAGGAAGCAGCCTTGTGATTATCCTGTGCCACATTTGCTGTTTCTCATCTCTTAAAAATGAGAATTTAAGGGATTCAGCTCAACTTGCAAAAAGTTATTGCTGTTTGCTGCTGTGTTTGGAAAGAGCCCTGCAGTACTGCTGTGGATGATCACTGGACATGGAAAAAGGCCTTGAATCCCTGCATTATAAAAGAAATAAGGAAAAGACTGACCAATGACAGCCAACATTTAAAGTCCCACCATAAGCAGCTGAAATGCAGCTTTGGAAGTCATCCACGGCAGCTTCAGAGGGCATCCTGGTGGAACATCCAAGCTGAAAATATGACTCTGCTGTAGCCGTGAGAGCGGGAGGCGGGTGTGAGTGTGTAGGACATTGATTGAAAGAGATGGAGAGCAGAGAAACAGCTGGGTAGAGCCTGGCAGATTTTTTTCCTTAATATTTTCACTGTATGAATGGTGCCTTCTATTTCAGAGATATATACAAGGGAGTAAAATAGTCGTGGCTGTATATCTCCTCAGAGGATTGCGCAGCAGGTTACACAGGCACTAGAACTGGAATTGATTTTCATTTTTTTTTCTAATAAGAAAAGACTCAATTATACTATCAGGCTGCAGAGGGCTGGAAAAAAAGACCTGGAATCCCTGCATGTATTGATGAGCGAGTCCAAGAGCTGGAAAGTCTGCTCTGTTCATGTTTCTCTTGTTTGTATTCTATACTTAAATAATTCAGTCCACACAGGACAGAACATTCTGATGTAGGAGTGTGCATTCTCAAATATACATGAGAACATATAGATGTACAGCTTGAATTCCTAAGGTTTCTTTCTGAGGCATTTGCTATGGCTCCGGATCTGTAATGTGAAGTTTTTCTTTCTTCTATCAGGGGTGAAGCACCGGACCATTATTTTTGCATAAATACAGCATCTTTAGGCTCCTAACAATACTAAAAGCATGAGCCTCGTTAAAGAATTTTCCACACAAGAAGAA